GAGAATGGGAGTAAGAGAGAGATATAGAGCGAGAGAAGAGTAAGAGAGAGTGAGAGAGAGAGAGAGAGAGAAAGAGAGAAAGAAAAAAGAGAAATATTGAGAGAAACAGAGAGAGAGAGAGGGGGAGGCAGGGGAGCAGGAGAGCTTACCATATTGTCAGCATCCTTGTTGTCTTCGACGGCGGGCGACAGCTCCGTGAGCAGTATCACCGTCTGCGAATTGTGGTCCCATATCATCTGCCAGAAGTCTTGCACCGTGGTGTCCACCAGAGGGTGCTGCGTGATGATGTAGTCCTGCAACCTCGAGAACCCCTGCGGAGACGACGCGACGAGAGAAACGATGAGGCGATGGCGCCCCCTGGTGACAGTCGCTACCGCGCGTGGCGTCGTCGAAGCGTCGGACGACGATTAAATGACGACGCCTGCTAGGAAGTTACGCTGCGTGCTAATTATACTAATTACTTATATTAATTATACTAATTATAGCAAGAAAACATCTGCGTAAAACAGACATCACTCAGAAATGGACGCGTTTGTGTTTTCCGTCGAGTGACCCTTCTGTACAGGTTTGACCGTACGCGAGATCGTGCTGATTACCTGAAAGAATGAGGCGTTGATGTAGTCCGATCCCTCTTCGCCCGGCTTTGGTGTTATCGTTACCCTCCGCGACTCAACTGCAAGAGAAACGACGTCGTTTTATCATGTCAAATCAATGATTTTTTTTTTTAATAATCCGTATTAATAATTTAACTTGCATTTGAATTATATTCAATGAAGATTTAATAAATAAATAAATGATAAACAGCAAATACGTTAAACAAATTACAATTACTTAATGAACAAATGGCGACTGAATTAAACGATTACAACTACGTTAGCGACAAACGGCGACAGAGGGCGCCACGCACTCACCTGGAATAATGTCCATGTGTCTGTTCTTGAGTCTGTTCACCTCCTTCTCCGCACTGTGGATCTGGTAGGGCTTTGGTTTGAAAGACACGGCCAGCTGCAGCAGCGAGGGAAGATGTGCATGTAATTAGTACGTGTTATGTTACTATGTGCGTGCATACGTTTGTCTTTCTGTGCGTGTGCGTACGTGTGTGTGTGCGTGTGTGCATGCGTGCATCATGTGATCATGCACGTATGTTAGCTCCAAGAAACGGTATTGCTAGGGTTAGAATACGTAACTATGTATAGACAATCCGTCGCACAGCCTGGTCGGGCTAGCACGTATGTGTGCGTTTGTGCAGCATGTGCGTATGTGCGCATGTGTCTGTGTGTGCACGTGTGTGCACGTGTGTCTCTCTCTGTGTGTTTGTGTGCGTGTGCATATGCGCGAGTGTGCATGTGTGCGTGCTACTACATGTAATATGTGCATGTGCATGAACGTAACATACGTGTAATATACATTCATGCGTGTGTTGCTCACACGTTCTCACAGCTCTCACTTGGTACTGTTGGCTGAGTATGGTTTATATGCATACTGTACACATAACACACGTGTGCATTCATGTACATCGCTTACACGTCCTCACGGCTCTCATCTGGTACTGTTGGCCGAGTATGGTTTATATATATATATATATATCTATGTGCATACATGTACGCGTGTACTATACATCACCGCTCACACATCACCGCCGCGGCTCTCACCTGGTACTGTTGGCCGAGTATGGTTTCGCCCGTCTTCTCGTCTGCCTGCATGATGCTGTGCAGGTAGGCTGTCATGTAGCTGCTGCGCACCTCCGTCTCTCCACACTGGATGTACTCCAGCAGTGCGTCGTGCGTGAAGATGTACTGCTCCTACAACACACGCGCGCGGACACTGTCAGCAAGCGTCAGCAGAGAG